TGTCAACTGAATTATATTATTATTATTATTATTACTTTATTCATTAAACATGAAACTGTCAACTGAATTATATTATTATTATTATTATTATATTTATTCATTAAACACAAAACTCAGTCAACTGTATTATTATTATTCTTAATTATTATTTATTAATTTTTCCTTCCTTTTTTCACCCCCAGAAACTGAACAAGAGCGAAATCAAAAACATGATGGAGGATTTGGACCAAAACAAGGACCAAGAGATCAATTTCCAGGAATACACTGTTTTCCTAGCTGCTATGGCAAAGGTTTACAATGACGCTTAGAAATAATAGGCTGGATGGATGGGAAAACCAGGGGGGGGGGGGGGGGGGAGAGAGGACCTGAAAGAAAACCAGGCCCTCGGGGAGCATTTAAGTAGAGTTTAAAGAAAGTAAAAAGAAAAGGTTTTTTCCCAAACTTTCCGGCTGGTCTTTTGTCTTTTTTTGTCGTCATTCGTTCGGGAAAAGGACGATTTGTTCCCGCCTCCACCCCCCAAAAATAATCAAAACAGTTCCAAGAAGTTGTATCCCCGCACATCTCTACTTCTGGAGAAAAAAAAAATCTGCTTCCCGTATCCATTTGGGAAGGTCCTCGACTTACGACCGCAGCTTCCGTCGTTAAGCGAGTCACGCCCCTCCCACAGGCGTTGACTCAGATCACGGCGGGAGGAGAGTTCAGCGAGGGAGAGGATCCAACTGCTTGTGGGAAGCGGGAGTTTGGAGGGGAAATGAAGATCGGGTTGACCGTTTCCCAGCAGCGTCGCAAATGCAGAACGGTCACTAAAGGGGACGGCCGCTAAGCCGAGGACAAGCTGTATGCTGAAGACGAGCTGTTCGGGTAGATAAGGGGGTGAAAGGGGGAAGGACTTTGGGGTTCAAACCATGTCGGGGGGGTGGTTTGCTAGGACAGGCCTAGGCTCTCCTGCTTGGGCCCGGGGTTGGACTAGAAGACCTCCAGAGGTCCCTTTCCGCCTTAGGATTCCAACATTTCAAAAAGCTACAGAAAGGCTTCTGGCAGGGAAAAATGGCTCTGGGTGCCTAAATTCCCATGGCCCAATCACAAATTATTTAATATAAGTCAATCATTATTAAAATGATTTCAACTGCTTTCAAATCGAGACGGCTGTCAATCAAGCTGACAGACACCCAAGAGCCGAAACTCGCCCAACGCAGGCAGCTCGCGACTTATGACTGCCAGGGACCCCAACGTGAACGGTGTTAAGTGTGTTCCGCCCCATTTTACGACTTTCCTCGCCGCTGCTCAGCGGATCGCTGCAGCTGACGAGTCAGCGACCTGGTTGTTAAGTGAATCCGACTTCCCCCCCTCTGCCCGCCCACCTTGAATTTGCTGGTCGGTACGTCGCAAGAGGGCTTCTGCGGGACACGGTCCTAAGTATGAATCGGTTGACAAAGAGTCTGAATTCTGACCGCAGGATCAGGAGAAATGCCGCAAAGGTTTTTAACGGTGAGAAACAGTTAAACAGCCCCGTCGTAACTTTGAATGGTCGCTAAACGAACCGTTGTAAGTCAAAGACTACTGGGATGTTCCGGAAGGTGGTTTTCCCCGCTACGCCCCGGCCTAAGTCCTCCGTTTGTAACGTTTTATCACGCTCTCGGAAACCCATCTCTGTCTCCGAGACCGCCAGGCAGTCCCATCGAGGTTAAAACGGGTCAGGTTGAAAAGGGGAGGGGGTGTCTCGCAGGCCAAGGGGGGGGTTCGTTTCCTCCATGGTGTGAGTCCCACTCCATAAGCTCTGATTGAACAAACCATAGTTTCCTGCAAACCCACAACTCTTCTCCGGGACGACAAATTTCGTCGTGAGGGGGGGGGAAATCCTTCCCTTGAACGAAAAACCAGAATTAGGGAGGTAATTCTTTTTCAAAATTAATGGAAATCCCCATTTTAGAGCCGGGGGGGACGGGACACAATCTCGATAAACTCTGATCAAATAAACCATAGTTTCGTTCAAGCCCACCACCTCTTCCTGTATAGGCATGGGGATGGACTAGAAGACCTCCAAGGTCCATTCCAACTCTGTTATTCTATTCTATTCTATTTCATTTTCTGGGAGGACAAAATTTTGTCGCGCGAGAAAAACAATCCTCCCCTTTGAACCAGAATTAGGGAGGTATTTTTTTCCAAAATTGGTGGAAATTCCCATTTTAGAACCAGGGGGGGAGGGACATCTTGATAAACTCTGGTCGAATAAAAGAATTTTAGTGCAAGGCCACCACCTCTTCTCCAGGGACGACAAATTTTGCCGCGACAAAAAATTTCCCACCCCTTGAACGAGAAAAAATTTCCGTCTCTTGAACGAAAAACCAGAATTAGGGGGGGTATTTTTTTCCAAAACCAATGGAATTCCTCGTTTTAGAATCAGGGAGACACTCTCGATAAAGTCTGGTCGAATAAAATATAGTTTTGTACAAGCCCATCACGCCTCTTCTCCGGGACGACAAATTTTGGCGTCAGAAAAATTTCCCCGTCCCTTGAACGAAAAACCAGAATTAGCGGGGTATTTCTTTTTAATGTCTGGAAATCCCTGTTTTAGAGCCGGGGGGGGGGGACGGGACGGGGACGACACTCTCGATAAAACTCGGGTCGAATAAAACACAGTTTCATGCAAACCCACCATCTCTTCTCTAGGTTGACAAATTTTGTCATGAGAAAAACATTTCCTTTCCTTGAACAAAAAGCCAGAATTAGCGGGGTATTTTTCCCCCCAAAATGGCTGGAAATCTCGTTTTAGAGCCGGGAACGGGGGGGGGCGCTCTCAATAAACTCTGATCGAACAAGCTAGAGTTTTGTGTAAGGCCACACCTTCGTTAGCACTCAAGAGCTGGTATGACAAACCGGTTGTGAGATCAGGAAGCGCCCCAGGGGGAAAAAATCGAGCCCTCTTCCCGTAAGGAAAAAAAAAACCAAAACGGATTAGGGAGATATTATTCAAAATTGCTGGAAATCCAGTTTGGGATTTATCGGGAAGTGAATTATAAGCAAATCGACCCGTCCCGCCCTCTGGAATAAATAAAGGGAAGCCTGCAGATCCTAAATTGTGCCGTTGCTACATGGCCGAGCTCTCTGCACATACTCGGGAATGTCCTCGCCAAATCCGGATTCTCGACTCACCGTCGTTAAATATGGGGGCATTCAGGGAGGGGGGGGAAGCCCACCACCGAACCTCCAAAGTGAGCACTGACCTGCCTCAAAGCTGGCTGGGAAGACGAGATGGACGGAACGGAGTCGCCTTCCAAAGGGGCTGAGGTAGACTGGCTGGCACAAACAAAAACGCCACGCGCTCTCTCTCCGTGGTAGCCTGGCTCTGTATACATACACACCCCTGCGGAATCGGAAGACGGGTGTGCCCAGAGGTTGTGACCTGTTAACAACTGCCGTGCTGTCAAAATATTTTTGTGTAGATCAGGGTGCGGAGAGAGAAGGACGCACAAGAGCAGGAAATCATGATAATTCACATGTATTTAAAAAATAATAATAAAATCATTCTGGTTCGTCTCCTCCTCTAAGGGGGAAGGGAAGTGGAAGGAGGCGACAAGCCGGGCCCGTGGCTGACCCGGATTGGGGGTGGGGTGTCCTCCCACCAGCCCACCCTTCCCGGCCCTCGGCTGCTGGTCTTCGACATCCGACGGATTAAGAATGCAAAAGTTAGAAGTGCCTTAACTAGAAACTAATTCTCCTTCATCTCTCCAGGGTGAAAAAAAAAACGGCAGTTTTGAGACAGAGAGAGAAAGAGAGAAAGAGAGAATGAGAGAGAGGAGGAGAAAGAGGAAAAGGAAACAGAGAAAGGGTTATATACAGAATTCTTTAAAAATAAAAAAAGAGAGAGCAAGAAATCGATTAGGCGAGAAAAATTAAGGGTGGTGGGGAAACGATAACAAAATGATTGACATTCTCTCTTCTCTCCTCTCCCTCTGGTTGCCACCTTGTACAGAAACGATACACAGGTAGAGTTACAGGGCGAAAGATGGCCGAGATGCTTTCACATCGCCCTGTTCCTTGTTTTGAGGGGTTCAGAAGGTGACCCCCCTGATCTCGCCCAACCCGGAGACGTCTGGGAAGGAGCTCCCCTCCTCGCTTCGTCCGCTCGTCCGGTCCATCGGACACCAGGTGGATTTGAAAGGGCAGCTCTCCCACTGTCTCGTTGCCCCTGCTCAAGTCCCTTGAACCTGGGGCCGGCCCTGCCTCTTGGCCAAGCGTGGAAGCATTCAAGCTACGGAAGCTACAGGGGTCTCCCCAGGTGGGGCAGGGATAACGCGGCGTTTGGGAAACGGGGAGGAAGCAAAGCGCAAATTGTCCGCTCTGTCTCGATCGGGTCCCCGAGGATTGGTAGCGCGGCCCGGCCCCGTTTGATTCTCCACGGCTCGTGAGGGTCCTGCTGTCCCGGCAAGGGACGGGGTGGTGGTGTGTTGTGTTGTGGGGGGGCTCAGGGCACCCCTCGTGTTCACTGGAGCCGGTCGGTGCGGAAGGAGTCTTCAACAGACGGATCAGTCAGCAGGACGTAAGGGTCGCTCAGCATATTGAGTCCATCCAAGCTCAGCGGCTCAATCTTCAAATCCTCGTCCAAACCCAGGGAAGCTGCGTCCATTTCGAAACCCGGCATGCCTGCCAGGACGCTGGCGATTTCTTTGGAGATGCCAGGCGGGGAATCCCCTACGAAGGAAAATCAAGACACCCACAGCTACATGACTGGGCGTGGAACGAAAGGCCAATCGGGACCCCATCGCAAGCAGAAATCGCAGTGCAAAGAGCTAGGATGCAGAATCCAAATCCATCCTACTATTACGGCTACAACAGTTGTGTCGGGAGCATCGAAGCGGGTTGAAAGAATTTACCTCCCCACTGCCCGGGAGGACGCCCAGTTGGGGGCTCCTTCTGTATCTCCGTGAAGTTGCCCACTGAAGTGGAACCGAACTCATCTATCTACACGCGGTTCCTCTGCTTTCAAACTGCCGGATCGGCAGGAGCTGGAGCGAGGGACGGGAACTCATCCTGTCGCGTGGCAGCAACCAGGTCTCAAACGCAACCCTGCTCAGCGTCCTAACCAGATGAGCAAACTGAGCTCCCAAATCTCGTTTGATCTTTTGGGAACATCGGGGAGGGGGGGGATCTTGAGATAAATCTCTCGTTTGATATGGGAGCCATCCATTCTAAAGCTGAAGGCGGCTACTTCCACGGACCTCAAACATTTTCTACCCACCCGCTGCAAACCCGCCGGCGACCGTTACCTGTGAGAATGATGTTAGGAATGGGACCATGGCGGCTGCAATTACTCAGGTTCTGACGACCGAGTAAGTGGGGATCGTTCATGGCGGTGCTGTTGCTACTGTGGCCGCCCCCTCCGCCCACCGGCGGTCCCATGTTGTCGCCCGGCGAGTAATTTAAGGCACCCATGTCGTCCATGAAGGCGTTGCTGTTGAAGGCAAAACCTCCCGTCATGTTGTCGACAAAGCTGTACTGGTCGAACTGCGGGGAAGAGAAGATGCGCACGTCCCGTCATCGGAGGGTTGTCTTCAGCGCCAAGCGGGGGGGGGGGGGGTGAGACTACATGGCCTCCCAAGACCCCCCCCCCCCACTACGTCCGCTGCTACGAGCCTGGGAAATCGGTAAGTGGGAGGGAAACTCACGTTGCCAAAGCCGAAGTCGCTCAACGGCTGGTTGAGCTGGTGCTGGTACATGGAATTAGGCTGGTAATGCGTCGGGTAGGGACAGGGCGGTTGAGACGGCTGGCGGGATTGAGGAGAGGTAGGGACTCCTCCAGGCACCGGGTGCTGGGACTTCTGGCTGTGTTGATGGAGCACGCCTGGCTGGCTGTAAGGGTAGGGCGGAAGCCGCTGGTCTGCAGGGAGCTTGCTGGTGTCCAACGGTACTCCCTGGAGATGGGAGGGAAGAGTCAGAAAGGGAGACGGTCATGGGTGGGTACGACATACGCCTTTGGAGAGGGAGGGAGGCACTCTTCACACCTGCTGCGCCAAGGGTGTCAAACTCAAGGCCCGGGGGCCGAATCCTGCTGAGATCTGGCCCACCTTTTGTTGCCCTGGAAGCAACAAAGGTGCTTCTGTCAGCGAAAACAGAGCTTGTGAGAGCCGCGGGGATCTCCGTTTCTGCTGGCAGAGGGTTGCAGGAGGCTGTCGCAGCCGAAAATGGAGTTCGGGAGTCTGCTACCTCTGGCAGAGTGCTCGGGCCACTACAGGTACCCCTGACATGAGTGATGTTGAGTTGGCCAAGCCCCCCTAAGCCCCCCGAGGTCAAACAACCCTGATGCGGCCCTCAATGAAAACGAGTTTGACACCCCTGTGCTACGCCCATCTGCTATGCTCAGGGTAGGGCCTTAAGATGGATGTGGATAACCCACCGTCCCACCTCAACCCCTGGCCGGATCTCCAACCTCCGAGGGATTATAGGTAATCCTTGATTTACGAGCAGAACGGAGCTCAAAGGTTTCTGAACAACTGTGGCCAGGAAGGTCGTAAATCCCACGTTGCTGTCTCGCTTAACGACAGACGTGTCGGACTCCCATCGTGGCCGTGTGTCAAGGACTACCTACCTCGAGTTACCAGGACCGGAAGGGGGAAGAAATAATTTGAAGCGATCCTTAGAAAGGACGGAAAGGGGGAGGTTGCGGAAGTTGAAATGAGATGGGAAAAGAAAGTGAAGCACACAGAAGGGGGAGAGGGAAGGAAGGGAGGGAGGGAGGGAAGGAGGAAAAAGAGGAGGCCGGGTGTGAGCACAAAGGGGAGGGGATCACACACGCTCCCGTCACAAGCCTCCTCCCCCCCACCCTCCCGAGTGCGTACCTGGGTGATGGAAGACAATGTTGGTGACATAGTTGGCGAAAACTGTTTGGGGTGTTGTCGTCTCGCTTCTCCAGGCATGGGGAGAGTCAGGGGGCTGAGGGGGACCCTGCGCCGGGGGGAAGCGTTCAGGGGGGTGTAGGAGGCGGCTGGGGACGAAGCGGTGGAGGAGGAAGAGGAGGAAGAGGAGGCCGGCCCCCCAAAGCCAGGGGGCGGCTGGTGGTGTGGATGGGGCGGTGGGGGCAGCCGGGGGTTAGCCGGGAGGGGCGGCATCGCGTGGGCGCTGAGCGAGGTGGGGAGGGAGGGGTTGCTGAGCGAGGTGGATAGCGAGGGGGTGCTGAGGGAGGAAGGCATGGACTGGCTGCCAAGGGGGGAGGGCGCCGGGCGCCGGGTGGGGGCGTTAAGCGAGGACTGGAGACAGGGGTTACTGAGGGAGCTCTGCATAGATGAACACAACCCTGCGTGGACACAAAAAAATGAGAACAAAAAGAACCATAAATCCATGAGACAACCAAAAGCCACACACACAAACACACACACACACGAGATGGCCGATTGTGGGATATCACGGCCTCCAGGGACTTCCAGCCGTGATGGCGGAGCGATGAGAGTTCGAGCTACGTCTCCTCTCCCGGAAACGGCAACCCCTCGTTCCCTCCGGGGTGGAGAAACGGTTCGATTGGACACAAGTGTACAACACAAACACACACACACAATGGAATAAAATGCCAAACATCTGCCAGGACATATGAAAAGATGGATGGGGCATCTGCCGTCGGGCTCTCCCGGGTGCAAACAGACGAACGAGATGAATCGTCCTGTTTGATAAATTTCGTGGGGGTTTTTTGAGGGGGGGAAATAAAATTTGGAAAAGCTGGAGATTCAAACTTCTCTTTTGTCACGTTCTCCTCGCACGCTAAATATATATCTCCGAGCACGCCTTCCCTGCCCGGCAACACATTGTCGGATAAGAAGCCCCCCCCCCCCCCCCAGCAACCAGTACCTGGAGGGTCGTAGCCGTGGCCAAGGCCCATCCCGCCGCTGATACCCAGGTGCGTCATGGTGTTGGCCAGGTTGCTGGTGCTGCTTCCGCCGCTCAGGCTGGGATAGGACGACTCCTCCGGGTCGAGGGGCGTAGGCAACGGGGAAGGGAAGTGCAGGTTGGTCAGATCGGGCAGGGAGCCTCCCGTGTTGAGGTTGGACGGGATGAGAGGCAAGTTGGCAGGCTGGTCGGGGGACGGGAAAATGCTGGAGGAAGGAGGAGGAAGAAGAAGAAAAAAAGGATTGGATTAGGTTAACATTAGGCGATTCTATTCCTTATTTCCTATTGTTATTTAGTATTATTTGCTGTTCTATATTCTATTCTATTTTTATTTCCTACTCTCATTTCCTATTCTATATTCTACTCTATTCTATATTCTATTCTTTATTCCTATTCTATTCTATTATTTCCTATTCTATATTCTATTCTTTATTCCTATTCTATTCTATTGTATTCTTATTTCCTATTCTATATTCAATTCTATTCTTTACTCTATTGTATTCCTATTTCTATTTCCATTCCTATATTCTATTCTATTCTATTATTTCCTATTCTATATTCTATTCTTTATTCCTATTCTATTCTATTCTATTATTTCCTATTCTATATTCTATTCTATTNTTCCTTCCTTCCTTCCTTCCTTTCTTCCGTCCATCCTTCCTTCCTTTCTACAAGAACAAACACATCTCCTTGTTACAATATACACGGGAGAACATTTACTGAGGTGACAGTCAGACCCAGTTGTAAATCACGAAGAAAGTTTCTTGCAACTGGGGAAACTTGTAACTTTCTCTCTTATAACTGTCTTCTTCCGCAGAATGTAAATGTTTGGGCATTGTTTGTTCATGTAACATCCCTTTCTAATTTTTTTTAACCCCCATCAATAAAAGGACTTCGGTCGAGTCCTCTGGAATACAGTGCAAATGGGCCAACCATGATTGGTTGCTGTGGTTCCTCACTCAATGATTCCCTCAAGGAGCATATGGTCCCCATATGATGTTACTGCTTTCCCTCCCCCAATTCCATCAACTGTGGATATTTTTTGGCAGATGAACTTTCCCCCTGCTAAATGACTGTGGGAGGGGAAGGAGAAATTGACCTCTGTCACTCTAAAGAAGGTATTCTCCAAATAAACCAAGCACGAAGGGATCACAGACCTTTGTTTATGCATGTCATAGGACCCAGTCAAAGACGTTAAAGTACTTTCATCTCATGTTCTCATTGATTAAACCAATATTTTAAAATGTAAGAATCCAGAGAGATTAAAAAAAAATCCCGTCTCAGATTTCCCCAACTCAGGACTCCAGATCTACTGGATGTTATTTCTCATCATCATCCTGAGGTGGCATGGCCCAAAGCCAATATGATCAGAGGCCATGCTGATTCAGGATGATGGGAGTTGAGATCCAGAGGGCACTAAATTCCCCAAAGCCATTGGATGGATATGTTTGGGAAATCAGACAAAAGATTATAATCACAGCTACTCTTTTATGAAAGGTTTCATTTGCTTATTATGACAAATATTTTTTATTATGGCAATTGATACCATGCATGCATAAATGCATCAATTAAATATTTAATTGTATAAAAATTGTATAAAAAGTTTGGATGGGAAAAACCAACAGCCTCAGCTGGCAAACTGTGCATAAAGGATGGAAGAAGCCCTTGCAGTAAAACAGCACAATCTGACAAGCACATACTAATCTTCCTTTTGTGTTGTATCTGGGTTTGAGACCAAATTTGGTGGCAGGTATATCAATATCACTGCCAACATCCCCTTTGCTAAAAGAGCAAGTTGCAGATCCTAAATGCTCTGGAGATTCCCTGCTGCAAGCTCACCTCTCCTACGAAAAAGCTTTCCTTGAAGAGAGGAAATTTGGAGGTATCAAGAAAGTGTCTAGAGAAACGTTGATTCCATGGACACAACATTCAGTGCCCTTACTCTAGTCCAGTGATGTCTAACCTTTTTATCCTCATGTGCCAAAAGGGCGTGTGCATCTGTGACAACGTATGCATGTGTGCCCACAACCATAATGCAATGAGTGTGTGATACCCCACCACACACCCTCTGTGCATGTGTGCATGACACCCCCATGTTCCCCCACCCCCGTGCATGTGTGCGTGACCCACCTGCGGCCCAATTTGGGCCTAGCAGTCCTTCCTGAAGCATCCTGGGACCAAAAACTGGGTGTGGGGGGAGCACTGCACCCTCCACTCCTGCCCTCACTCCGTGCATGCATGTGTGACACCCCGCACGCATGTGTGGCAGAAACCTGAAAATCAGCTAGCTGGCTGGAAGCATGCACACATGTGCAGTGGAACTGAGCTGGGATGACGGCTTGCATGCCCATAGAGAGGGCTCCACATACCACCTGTGGCACGCATGCCTTAGGTTCTCCATCACGGCTCTACACCAAGTAGGAACAGGAGTGATTCTTGCTTGTTTCTTTTTTGGCTCTTGACCTAAAGCAACAACAACAACGACAAAGCTAGTGAATGGAGGATTGGATAAATTCCTGAAAGTCAGTGAATCAATGGTTAAAAGTCTTATTGGCAACAAACAAATGTGACTGCCTCTGAAGGCCATCTGCTGGGAGACTAATGGACTTCCTGGTGGATTTGGGTGTCTACTGTGAGAACAGAATGCTGGGCTAGGTGGGCCAGGGATTCGGTGCAGAAGGTTCTAATGTTAATGTTTATATATGTATACTTATATAAAGTGCTTCTGTTCTTATGTTAAAAGAAGGGAGGCTTGACCAAGGGAAAGAAGAAACCAGGGAAGGTATTTTTAACTCAGCTCCCCCTTCCCTGTGAAGCCAACGGTATTTTGGGACAAGGATTTCTCACTTTGATGGAAGGGTGGGTAGAAAAGACACCGATCCAGGAAAACGTGTTAATTCCTTACGAACCTGAAGGTGCCTCCTCCAAAATTTACTCTCTTACTGCACATCTGGAAGGGAACGTTTTAAAATTATATAGGAAGTAGTCATGTGAACTACACGAAATAGTTTAACCTGGGTTTAAATTTTGTTTGGTTTTTTTTTCACCCGAGACTTCACCTACATTATGTCCCCAGAACTCCGAAGTCTGCTAAATGACATAAAACATAAATGAGGTAAATATCATTTTTGCTTGCTTGATTTTCTTGAGGTGACTCACAAAATGCGAAAAGTGAAAGCGGAATGGGGATAGTTTGAAACGCAGATTAAAATTGTCAGTAAAATAAGGCAGTGAAAATTGGAAGCATAAGCACCTGGAAGAAGAGAGATGCCTTGATAGATTTCTTCAAGATTGAGATGTGGACATGTGGCTCAGTAGAAATCCTGGCGCAGTGTGCTATGTAGACCTGGAGAGAAGGTCTTGTAGGCAAATGTAAATGATATCATTGTTGACTTCAAATAAAAGTACATTTCCTTATTCTGTCCTTTTCAGCCTCAGTGTATCAGTCACCATATAGCAGCTGTGGGTTGCAAAGTATCATGGGTTATGTTTATTTTTATTTTATTTTTTTAACAGTTTATTTATACATTTTTGGTTTACATACATAAGTGCTTTGTGAACAGGATATTGTCTGGATCCGTTTGCTTACATAATAATACTTTCCCAGCTTCTAATTTCTACATTCATTATCCAACCATTTGTAGAACAGATCCCATGTTCGAAAATACTCTGCATCGTCTTTTTCTTTTATCTTTTAAAGTCAATCTGTCCATTTCTGCGCAATCTAGTATTTTTTTTAATTACCTCTTCTTCTGTAGGTGTTTCCACATTATTCCAGTACTGCGCAAATATAATTCCTGCTGCTGTCAAGACATGTAATATTAAATACATATTCCGTTTATCACACTTTTGTTTTATTTTAATTTTAGTAGCTTAATGTAAGATATATCATTTTAATTGTTTGGTCAGCTGCCTTCATAATTATAGGCTGCTGCTGAAGTTGATATTAATAGTAGTAGTAACAATTACAGCAGTTGCAACAGTAGCTATAATTTGAATATTAATATTAATAATCGTTTATTTAATGTAAAATCTTTCCGCACGTGCCATGAAGCAGAGGGTTTTTTAAAACAACAACAATAATAAGCGAATCTTTTAAGGCACCGTTCTAAATTTTGCTGCACACAAAAAAAACACAATCAAGCAACAACTGTAATAAAGATCCACTGGCAGGTTCACAGAGAGTTCTCAGTTCAAGAATAACTAAAGGGTGTCATCAGGCCATTTGCCTGTGGAAATCTGCATTTTCGGCTGTGTACTCTAAAATGCAGTCTCTGCTAAAAAAAAAAGAAAGAAAGAAAAAGAAAGAAAAGAAAATAATTGCTTTTGACATTATTTGACTGGTTTGATTTGAACAGGCTGTAATTACACAGTGCTGATCAGGTTTCCGGAGGGATTTCGAAATTCAGGAATGAGCAGCACAAACATGACGACTAATCACAAACTGATAGAAACCAGATTTGTCCACATTCTTATTCCAGCGTTACTAAAATTCTTTCAGACTTAAGAATACACGTAAAATCACATGCAGCAAGGGGGGAAAAATGGTGCATTGACCCTTCTGTAGGGCAACTGAGAACCAGCAGTAGGATTTCCTATTGATTTCAACCAACATCCCACAATAGCCAGACCCCAGGCTGTTGTTTTTTTTAAACCCCACAAATGTTTCAAATAGCTTTTTGAACCTTTTATTTAATTGGGAAAGTTACCATAGCAAACCCCAAAAGCCGCAGCTGAATTCTGGGATGTGTGGAGGAGAACAAGCGGAAAGTTTTTAGGATTTTATAGAAGAATGGCAATGTTTAACAAATCTCCAAGATCGGTAGATAATATACTTGGTGACTAAAAGAAAAATAAATTCTGCGGATGTAATAAATGCTGGTTGTTCTTTCTTTTGCATTATTTTGATTTTATGATTTTGTAGGATTATATACATAATATAGGATTGTATACATTTTCTCCCTAATTATTTATTCATTTACACAGAGTTTATTTCTACAGCTAGCATGGAATACTAATAACAAAAGTTGATATAATCTTCCCCATTCTGATCTATGTATAATGGATTTCAGTTACAAATAACTCAGTTTAAGGACCCCTTCTTCTGAGCAAAGAAAGTCAAGGTATGAGTTTACTGTAGAAATGAAATTACACAGTTCAAACTTTATTTCAAGATTTATTCCTTTGGTGACCATCATTTTCCTACCCCACAAATTAATGACACAATCATTTTAAGATCCCTTAGTGGGAGGACTTTGTAGCTTAGCTTGAAATGTAAATGTAAAGATAAAGATTCCGCTCGCACATTTGTGCTAGTTGTTCCTGACTCTAGGGGGCGGTGCTAATCTCCATTTCAAAACCAAAGAGCCAGCACTGTCCAAAGATGTCTCCATGGTCATGTGGCCAGCATGACTAAACACCAAAGGCACACGAACGCTGTTACCTTCCCACCAAAGGTGGTTCCTATTTTTCTACTTGCATTTTACATGCTTTCAAACTGCTAGGTTGGCAGAAGCTGGGACAAGTNCCCTGCCATCTTTCAACGTACAGGTTCAATCACATATTGCCAATAAACTTACAACAAACAATTTAAATGAGCATAGAGTCGAATACAAGTTATACCGCACAATAATTTAATACATAAATATGTAAAATAGGGTAAAATGACCTAAAATTAAACTTCTTATAACACCCTTGCAATCTACCCCAATCAAGCCCCAAAGCTTCTCGGAGGGGAAATAACTTGGCAAACTGCTCTCCCTCAAAGCTATTGATGGCAGCCACTTCTCCTTGACACAGGACCATTAAACCACCATTAAACCATCATCTCGAATCGACGGGGAAGGAAACCCCAAATCCTAGCCAGAGTGTGGACTTTCTCCCCCGCCCACCCAGGTCTCTCGCGAGACACACACACAGACACACATGTACCGGGACGCGTGATAACGCCGACCTCCCCCCCCATAAGCCACTCACCTCTCTTGCGGTTGGGAGGGGGCCCCCCCTGGGAGGGTCCCAGGTAGGCATTGGGTGGGTTCGGGTTCATCACGCTGGTGTGAAGGGCCGAGTCCGAATTGGTTCTACTTACGAGAGAGGAAAAATGCGGAATTAAAAGAATAAAAGCGGAACGGATTGATGGGTTTCCCCAAATCTGGCTCCATCTGAGCTGTGAGAAACCCTGATGCGGCTGGTCCTCGACTTACGGCCGTTCGCTTAACGACTGTTCGAAGTTACGGCCGCACTGAAGAAAAGGGGCTTGGCGCCGTTTTTCACACTTTGCGGCCGGTTGCAGCATTCCCTCCCCCCACCCCCCACCCCGATCCGAACTTGGCAACTAACTCATCTTTATGACGGCTGGGGTGTCACGGGGAATCACATGACCTTCTGACCAGCCCAAGTCAACGAGCCAGACTCGCTTAGCGACTAACGGGTGACTAATGTCAGCGATTTGCGACTTGTGGCGAGCGAGGTCGTAAAAGGGGGCAAAAGCCATCTAAGAAATGCCTCCTTTAACGACAGAAAATTTGGGCCCGGAGGAGGTTGCCAGTCGAAGTTAACCATGCGCCTCCGTTGGCCTCGCCAGCTGGCAGTGAGTTCGAAATACGGCAGCAAGAAGCAGTCGTGGGGAAGGGAGGCAAGGAGGAAAGGTTGCATGTTAACAAAGCTGTCAGAGAGGCCAATTCTTTCTTTCTTTCCTTTCCTTCTTCCTTTCTTTCTCTCTTCTGTTTCTTTTTTTCTCTTGCTTTTTTTCTTTCTTGCTCTTTCTTTCTCTCCTTTTTCTTTTCTCTTTATCTTTCTCTCCCCTCTTTCTTTATCTTTCTTTTCTTTTTCTTTCTCATTCTCTCCTTTTCCTTTTCTTTCTCTATCCTTTCTTTCTCTTTCTTTCTTTTTTCGTTCTTTTTCTCTCCTTTTTCATTTTTTCTCTTTCTTTCTCTCTCCTCTTTGCCTGTTTCTTTTTCTTTCTCTTTCTTTCTTTTTTCTTTCTTTCTCTCTCTCCTTTTTTTCTTTCTCTTTCTTTTTCTTTTTCTTTCTCATTCTCTCCTTTTCCTTTTCTTTCTCATCTTTTTCTTCCCTCTCTCTTTTTATCTCTTTATCTCTTTTCTTTTTCTTTCTCATTCTCTTTTTCTTTTCTTTCTTTCTTTTTCTTTCTTTTTTTTCTCATTCTCATTTTTTTTCTTTCTCTCTTTTTCTTCCTTCCTTTCCTCTTTCTCTTTTCTTTCTCTCTCCTCTTTCTTTCTCACTCTTTCTCTCTCTCTCTTTCTTTCATACTCCCTAATCTTTTTTAACAATGCCTGGGGTGTGTGTGGCCAAAACGGAGGGGAAGGGAGGGGAGGGGGGAAACCTAGGCCGCTGCAATTCTTCCAAAGGAACATAATGAGGCTCATTGTTGGGTTGTGATCAAATCGGCCTCCTCCTCCTCCTCCGTGGCCTTGTGCGTTGAAGAAAGCAGCCAAGGGATGTGTGTGTGTGTGTGTGTGTACACCCACATGAGAGAGAACAGAAGGCAAACCAGATCAAAGGAGAACCAGCCTGGGTCGTTTTATTCCCCCCCTTCCCGTAAATTCCTAGGACTGCAGAAGGGCCCTCGATTCATGATCGTGAAAACATACGTCCAGCGTTTCGAGGCTTGCAACCTAGAGAAAACCTTACGCAGCGGTCCCCTCCCCTCGTCAAGGCTACGCACAGCTCCCTTTTAAAGGGGGAGGGGGAGAGTGGCAGTACCTCCCTCCTCCCCTGTCCTGTAGGAGGCGATGTAGGAAAGAACCACAGCTGTTTTTTTGGAGGGGAGAGAAGTGCGTCTTATACTCTGAAAAATACGGCAATTTGTGCGAACCAAACATTGATTTAAATAGCAACAGCAGTTAGACTTATATACCGCTTCATAGGGCTTTCAGCCCTCTCTAAGCGGTTTACAGAGTCAGCCTATCGCCCCCACAGTCTGGGTCCTCATTTCACCCACCTTGGAAGGATGGAAGGCTGAGTCAACCCTGAGCCAGTGAGATTTGAACCGCTGAACTGCAGATAACAGTCAGCTGAAGTGGCCTGTAGTACTGCACCCTAACCACTGCGCCACCTCGGCTCTATTAAAGGGGACGGGGGAAACACCGCATGAGAAAAAGGACTCACCTGTTGAGGGAGGCAGGCAGCCTAAACAAACGTTCTTTCTCCACAGGGAAATTGCCCCAAGGCATCGTCCTTTGGAACAAAAAAAACACCGAAAGTTACTCCAAGGTTGTGGGAAAACTGCCTTCCGGCGTTACATATAGACTTTGCAAATCTGGGCTACAGTTCCACCGGCTGCCATTAGTGGGCAGCAGCACAGGCGAGAGGTTTTTCCCGAAGCCCTCTCTCGCCCTCTGGTGGCCGCCTCCGTTTCCGCAACCCAAATATGATCCCGAAATGGGCCAAACTTGGGAAAGGAAACTTGGAGAGCCGTCAGACAAAAATACGGATGGTCATAAATGGGGTCCGCTCCTGGGGCGATGTGCTTTGCGACGGTCGTGACATACGACCGTTCACCGCAAGGCTCGATTGCGGTCATAAACGGGGGAATGGCCTGCAAATGACAGAGGGGGAGGAGGAGTCAGTGGGGCAGAGAAGTAAAGAGCAATGGATGGTAGCTCTCTGAGCTTCGTGGTTTCCTTGCGGACGTTTCATGACCCAACTAGGTAACATCATCAGTGCTAGGAGGAAGGGTTTTTTTGTGAAATGAAGCAGGGAAAAGAGTGGAAAGAATGGGAAAAGAGGAGGAGGAAGAGGAGGAGGAGGGGCAGGAGGACTGTGGGGTCCTTGATGCTCTCTAAACGGGGTTGATTTCTTGCAGACGTTTCATTACCGAACTAGGTAACGGCATCAGTGCGAATAGGGAAGGAGGTGTGCTCTTTTTTACATATAGCAGTGGCTTGCTCTGTATGTAAAGTGTGAGAAAGACTCACCTTCTCCAGCTGGGTTCAGCAGGAGGGGACAGGTACGCCGGACTGTAAGGAGAACTGTCGATGTGATGGGGGAGTTAAGGAAGACACAATGTTGTGGGTCACCAGCAAGTCCTCGTTGTAGGCTGAACCCCGAAGGGGAATCCTTTTGCTCTTCAACTTCCAGCCCAATGTCGGTGTGGGTTTATGTCCGTCCCCACCCTGTTGTGGCCCAGCAGGAGCCGTTGGAGCTGCCACCAGACTCCGACAGCGAGGGGCCCTATGAGTCGGCCCTGGAGGATGTGGAGGACCCTGGACAGGGTTCATACTCTGAGCAGGGTGCAGAGAGACTGGTTGGCTACCAGGTGGCACCTGAGCCTTGGATCAGTGGGGAGGAGACAAGGGAGAGTGATCTAGAAACCAACTGTGAGTTGTTCCGGGATGCACACTATCAAAGGCTACTTGGCGTCAAGAACAACTACGTAATTACAGGAGGTAATTACGCTCAGCTGATGGCCATTAGGCTCCTCTCCAGACTATAAAAGAGACTGCTTGTGCCAGGCCCTTCTTGCAGAAGTCAACGCTTTGACTAAAGAGAAACAAACCTGGCAGGCTGGATTGCTGCCAGAGTTTGTCTGAATTGCTGCCAAAGTTTGTCGGCCTTATCTGTTTGTTTATTTGGCTTTCAGCCACCGAGAGTCTGAACTTGTTATTAAAGGACATTATCATTTAAGCTTGTCTCGGCATTTGTTATTGGACGGAGGAGGGGGTCAGAACACCACCCCATCTCGCCAAGGGTGTGTCTCGAGGCGACTGGAGTTGTGTTGCCTAGCAAGTAAAGGGGAGAGAAACAGCCATCTCGAGGCAAAAGGATATTTGTCGTACATAACGTCGCAGTGGAGAAACCATCCGGCGGGGATCCCGCTGTACTCGTTCCACCAGGCCGTGATGCCGCGTGCCCCGGGCCGAGTCCAGAGGAGAATGGAGGGGACCCTGGAGGGGGAAAAAAGAGAGGCACAAGAGGAATCAATGAAAGTTGTGAAAATCTGAAGCGGGGTCTGCGAAATTGGGTGAACAGGAATTTCCTGTTCCTGTGTGTCAATTCCAACTCCTTGTGTGTCAATTCCAATACATGAGTGTCAATTTCAATAATCTGCGTCTCAATTTCAATGATTTGTGTGTCAATTTCAAAAATGTACGTGTCGATTTCAATAATAATAATAATTTCAATAATTGTCAAGTTCAATACAACATGCATCAATTTCAATATCAATTACCTTATGTGTCAGTTTCAATAATTTGTTTCAATTTCAATAATTTATGTGTCAATTTTAATAATATTTAATAATTTCAATAATTGCCAGGTTCAATACAACATGCATCATCAATTTCAATTTCAATTACCATGTGTCAATTTCAATAATTTGTGTCAATTTCAATAATAATAATTTCAATAATTGTCAGGTTCAATACAACATGCATCAATTTCAATATCAATTACCGTATGTGTCAATGTCAATAAATTGTCTGTCAATTCCAATACATGGTGTGTCAAATTTCAATAATTTTCTGTCAACCTCAATAATTTGTGCATTAATTCTCAACCGTCACACTTTCTACAATTTGTAATGGAAGATGGGTTTGTGTTTTTTTTGTTTTTGTCTGTGTTCATTTTAAAAATTAAAAAAAAAAGTTTAAAAAATAATTTGTGTATCAATTCCACTACACCGTCAGTAACACATTGTGCAGTCAATTTCCATAATTATGTGTCAATTGCAGTACATCGTGTGTCAATTTCCATAAACTGAGTGCCAATGAATGATTATATCTGGGTCAGGTGGCAGCCTGGGCTAAACCTCTCCGGCCAATCAGGAAGCCCCATGCAGAAGAGCAAAACCATCATGGAAGAAATGGCAGGGAAGATCCCCGGATGTTGGTTTGTTCCGACGACGGGTTACCTGAAACTCGGCTGCGCCGCTTCCAATCTGGTTGACGTTGGGCAGTGACCCGCCGTAGTAGGGCCCTCTGCTGTGCGCCAGTCGTAACTTCTGAGCCTGCAACTGAAGGCGGGAAGAGAAGCAGAATAGTGGTCAATGCATAGCCACCCGCACGAATCCTTCACTGCCCTGGGCAAGCAACCGCTTTGCAAAGCTGATGGACGACATTCTTTCCAACATGCCACCATCTCAGTGTGTTTACACTCCTGCAACGGAGGCTCAAGCTAGCAGAGTGAGGGCAGAGCCGGAAGCAGGCTACCATGCTCTCTCCTGGCACCCCGACCCTTCGAGGTAGCCTCGACTTATGACGACAATGAGAGACCGAAAATTTCCGTTGTAAGCCGGAAAGCTGTTGGGTCCGTTTTACGGCCTTGTTTAGTCACCGTTGTGAAGCGAGGGATATTTTTTGGAGGAGATTGGGACCACCGTGTGTCTGGAATGGACTAGGGTCCCCTGCTGGAGCCAGCGGGTTGGACTAGAAGACCTCGGAGGTCCCTTCCGACTCTGTGATTCTGTTAGAGAGACTCCAATCCCATCAGCGCCAAAGACGCTTTGCTGTTTTTGGGGGGGGCGAAGGGGGGGGGCGAAGCCCAGACTGAAAAAACGAGGGTTAAAAAAAAAATACAGCTAATCCTTAACTTGCAACCGTTTGTTTAGTGAATGTTCCAGGTTGCAACAGTCATTCTTCACACTTACGACCGCAGCAGCATCCCCCACAGCCAGGCGATCAAAATTTTAGACGCTTGGCAAGTGGTTCGTATTTACGACGGTCGCAGTGTCCCCCCTCCGGGGGTGGGTGGGTGTCAGACGATCCCCTTCTGGCCAGCAACGCCCGTGGCACGAGCCGGATTCGCTTAATGACCGTGGTACTAACATAGGCTGCGATTCCGTTAAAACCACGGCGGTGGCAAGAGAGGGGGTAAAAAGGGGCGAAGCTCGGTTGACAACTGCCTCGCTCAGCAACGGAAATTCTGGGGGCTCGACCATGGTCGTAAGTTGAGAACTACCTGGAGACAGTGCTGGAAGAGGCCCCGAGGACTGATATCTCTGCTTGTTTATCAATCTGGAAGAACTGGTTGGGGAAATATTCGGGACTGTCCCTTCCAGCTACCGAACCTCCCTGCCCTGTCTATGAAAATGTACAGATTTAAGAGAGTTGGAAGGGACCTTGGAGGTCATCCAGTCCAACCCCCTGCCAAAGCAGGAGACCCTGCACCATTTCTGACAGTCTCTTCTTGAAAGCTTCCAGGGATGAAGCTCCCACAACTTCCGAAGGCAACTTCTGTCCCATCGAATATAGAATAACAGAGTTGGTGGGGGTCCTTGGAGGTCATCTAGTCCAACCCCCTGCTCAAGCAGGACCCTTCCCCCCAAAAAAACTGAAATCTCACACACTGAATATTTGAAAACCTAAAGAAAAAAAAAGGTCACGTGTCCAACAGGATGACGGATTAGAATCCGCCATTTCTGGGACCACTTCATGTCGAGATGATAAATATTTCAGATTATTCATTGCTTCCTTCCTTCCTTTCTCGATTATCATCTCAAAATAAGAAAAATAAAAATAAAAAGGACACCAAACCAGGTTTGCAAAAGTATCGCTCGTTCGCTCGGTCCTTGCAAACTGTCATTTTTTGCACAATTTTTTTTTTAAATCCAGGTTTCTATCCAGTGCCGACAAATTTTAACTTAATTCTTCCATAAAGGAAGATAGATAGATAGATAGATAGATAGATAGATAGATAGATAGATAGATAGATAGATAGATAGATAGATAGATAGATATAGATATATTTTATTCCTTATTTGTACACCCCCCCCTTGCCTTGGGTTGTGAGCCGCCCTGAGTCCCCTTCGGGGAAAAGGGTGGCATAGAAATATAATAAATTCAATTCAATTCAATATTGAGATATATTGAGATAGAGATAGATTAGATAGATAGATAGATAGATAGATAGATAGATAGATGATAGATAGAGATATAGAGATATAGATATATTGAGATGATAGATATATTGAGATGATAGATAGAGATATAAATATAGATATATTGAGATAGATATAGATAGATAGATATATATTGAGATATAGATGATAGATAGATAGATATAGATATATTGAGATAGATAGATAGTTAGAGATATATAGATATATTGAGATAGATAGATGATAGATATAAATATAGATATATTGAGATAGATAGATAAATAGATAGAGATATAATATATATATTGAGATAGATATAGATGATAGATAGAGATATAAATATATATATATTGAGATAGATAGATGATAGACAGACATATAGATAGATAAGATGATAGATAGATGATAGACAGACATATACAGAGATAGATAGATGATAGATTGATGATAAATAGATATAGATAGATAGATAGATAGATAGATAGATATAGATAGATATAGATGATAGATTGATAAGATATATATTCATAGATAGATAGATAGATTCATAGATAGATTCATAGATAGATAGATAGATTAATATATATATATATATATATATTCATCAAGGAGGACTTTTTAGATTTGTAAATCGAATGGAAGGAGGAAATCAGCCTCATGAACACAGACTAAAGGTTGCAAAGAGAGCAAATCAAGAGGGAGGTTTTGGCCTTTTCAGTTCCAAAAAAACTTTCTGTTTTGGGAGCATCCAATTGCAGAATTCTTCCCCCCCCCCATTGCACAGGTGTTTTGCATGCAAATCTTGGAGGCGAGCGATTGAACCAGCGCCGATGCCGGGAAATTTCGTTGGGCTTTCCGAGTTGGAAAAGGCTGGCATTGTGCTGGGGTTGGAAGGAGAAAACCCCGCTGGTGCCAACCCAGTGCCCAGCTGAGACCGTTCGCTCCGGCCAATCCCTGCCAAGGCCCTCGGTCGGAATGGGAGAAGCGCTGCCCGAAATCTGAAGTTTGGGAAAAGAAGATAAGGAGGCTTCTTTGATGTTTTTCTCACGGTGAGCCCACACCCAGGGCAGGGGGAACCGGGGGGGGGGGGGGCACCGGACCCTTTCAGAAGGTGATTTTTGGGGAGTTGGAAAGAAACCAGGGGTCAGGGGGCAGCCACCATGGAGGAGAGGAGGAAGGGAAAGAGGAAAAGGAAGGAAAAGGAGGAGGGAGAGAAGGAAGGAAGGAAGGAAGGGAGAAAAGAGGGAGAAAGGGAGGATAGAAAGAAAAAGTAAAGGAAGCAAAGGGAAGGAAGAGAGGAAAAGATGGATGGATGATAGAAGGAAGGAAGGAAGAAGAGAAAGGGAGGGAAGGAGAAGGAAGATAGAAAGAAAAAGTAAAGGAAGGAAGGAAGCAAGCAAGGAGGGAAGGGAACAGAGGAAAAGCTGGAAAGAAGGAAAAAGAGAAAGGGAAGGAAGAAGGAAAGATAGAAAGAAAAAGTAAAGGAAGGAAGGAAAAAGAGAGGGAGGGAGGAAAGATAGAAAAAAAAGTAAAAGAAGGAAGGAAGCAAGGAGGGAAGGGAAGAGAGGAAAAGCGGAAAGAAGGAAGGAAAAAGAGAAAGGGAGGGAAGGAGAAGGAAAAGATAGAAAAAGTAAAGGAAGGAAACAAGGAAGGAGAAAGAGAGAGAGAGGGATGGGTGGAGGAAGGAAAGATAGAAAGAAAATGTAAAGGAAGGAAACAAGGAAGGAAAAAAGGGAAGAGAGGAAAAGATGGAAGGAAGGAAAAAGACAGGGAGGGAAGGACAAAAGGAAAGATAAAAAGAAAAAGGAAACAAGGAAGGAAAAAGAGAGAGAGAGGGATGGAGGAAGGAAAGATAGAAAGAAAAAGTAAAGGAAGGAAGGAAGGAAGGAGAAAAGGAAAGAGGAAAAGATGGATGGAAGGGAGGAAAAAGAGACAGGTAGGGAAAGAGAAAGGAAAGATAAAAAGAAAAAGGAAGGAAGGAAGGAAAAAGAGAGAGAAAGGGAGGGAGGAAGGAAAAATAGAAATAGAAAGTTAAGGAAGCAAGCAAGGAGGGAAGCGAGAAAAAGCAGGAAGGGAGGAGAAAAGAGAAAAGGAGAGAGGGAAAAGGGAAGGACAGAAAGAAAAAGTGTAAAGGAAGGAAGCATGCAAAGGGAGGGAAGAAAGGAAAGGACGGAAGGAAAAAGGGAGGAAAAATAAACCAAAACAAACCAACAACCCGACTGGCTCCAGAGGGAAAGTTAACCCTGGTTAAACGTCTAACCATGTTAGTTAGAGTCTTGCGTTCGAGGGAGGCCCAGCCATCCCGTCTATCCCACGTTGGGCACCAGACAATCGCGGGGCATCTTGGGAACGATGCCGACGCCATGCCCCAAGATGGTGGCGTCCCGCCTGCGTGTTTTTCCCGTCTTCCGTCCAGGCTAATTTTGAACCCTCCCCGGAGACTCCCCGGCTTTCCCAGGGGGGGGGAGTGGAGGAGGGGGGCGGATCTGCCGGACGGAGACAACGCCACAATCGCAACTTCGGTTGTGTTCCAGTTGTAAAAATAGTGATTTTTGTGTGTGTGTGCCATGAGAGAGAGATGGGAAATCCTCCCCCCCCCCCACACCACTTCCAAAGATGCCTCCCCTCCCTTCCACGATTTACGGCCAGTCCTCGACTTACGGCCACCCCTTTGGCCCCAAATTCCCACGGCTGGCTAAAGCGAGACGTTGTGGTTAGGTTTCTGCCCTGGTCTTCCTCGCCGCCGTTGTTCAGCGGATCACGGCCCTTGGTCAATGAGTCACGTGGTCGTTAAGCGAATCTGGCTTCCTCCATTGAGTTTGCTGGTTCAGGAAGGTCGTAAAAGGGGGTCCCGTCTCATACACACACACACACAGAGGGACGCTGAGGCCGTCGTAAGGACGAGCGCCTGAATTTTGATTTCAGGATCGCAGGGAGACTGCGACGGTCGTAAGTGCGAAGAATAATTATAAGACACCCCCACCCAAAGGACATTCTCAGGGTACCAAGACCCCCCCCCACCCCGTCAATGGGGTCAAAGGGCAATGACCACACACACCCATCACTCCCCAGCTTTCCAACCAGGACAGCCCCATGGGCGTAAAGGCCTACAGTCCCCCCCTTGGGCTGGGGAGGATGGGCATGAGAACCCCCGATGCCTCCATGGGGAGGAGGGATGAGAGCTGGGCCAGAAGCCGAAGCATGGGAACTGTAGTGGGGGAGAAGGTGAGGATGATGGGAGCGGAGCCCATCGCCTCTCAAAGGCTGGGAGAGGGAGCAGGGAGAGGATGATGGGTGGAGTAGTCCAGCCCCCTCCAGAGACCCCCAACTGAGGTTGGGCAGAGGACAATATGTGAGAGAATCCACCCCCAACTCAGGCTAGGCAGAGGATGATGGGCAGAGTAGTCCATCCCTCTCCCGAGACCTCAACTGAGGTTGGGAAGAGGATGATGGGTGAGAGAATCCATCCCTCTCCAGAGACCCCAACTCAAGCTAGGCAGAGGATGATGGGTGNAGATAGATAGATACTGTAGATAGATAGATTGAATGGAGGGAGGGAGGGAGAGAGAGAGAGATAGATAGAGAGAGAGAGAGGGAGAGAGAGAGAGAGAGAGAGAGATGATAGATAAATAGAATTAAAAAGAAAAGTCTTCCATTTCAACAAAGAGAAAGAAAATAATTAACATTAATCCTGGCTTATTCCCACCCCATATTAAATTTGAATTAAAAAACTCAGTGAGGCTAAGTAAATGACCAGGCTTTCCAAATTATGCAGCTCGGCTCCATAGCACCCCACCCCTCGGGAAACAATCTCCAAGGCTCAAGTTTAGACACCCCCTGTCCCACCAAAAAAAATCCAGTGGCCATGAGTTCCACAAACCCTCAGCAGGAAAACACCCCCCCTAGGCAGCAAAACTGCTTCAGCGCCTTCATCCCTGCGCAAATGAAGTTACTCCCAGGAGTTAAGCTTGACTGCAATGCTCCACCAACCAACCCCCTCTGGGGATGATGGGCCTTGTAGTCCAGCATACCAGGAGACCCGCTCTTGAAATGGAAAGGTT